AGCAACAAATTCATACAAGAATTCTTGGAGAATATGGTTCATTAACCTTTGGAAAGTTGCTGGTGCATTCTTTAGTCTAAAAGGCATAACATTGAATTCGTATAGACCAAACTGCGAAATAAAAGCAGTTTTTTCCTTATCTTTTTTGCTCATTTCTACCTGCCAATAATCACTAGCAAGGTCAAGTGTAGAAAACCAATTTGCTCCTCTAAATTTCTCTAGTAAATCGTCAATTCTTGGTAGAGGATATGCATCACTTTTAGAAATAGAATTTAGCTTTTTATAATCAATGCAAATTCGTTTATCTCCAGTTTTCTTTGCTACTATAACTACAGGAGAAGCCCAGGGATTTAACGACTTCCTGATAATTCCATTTTCTTCTATGCGTATGTTTAATTTCATTCTTGAGAAAATTAAGCTTTACTGGATCTTTGCATGTATAAACTCCAGTGGTAACTGGATCATGATCATTGGTCAAAATGTTATATTTTACTAAGCTAGTTCGTCCAATTTTTATTTGACTTAAGGCACATATATCCTCATAATCATCAATTAATTTTTGAAAAGACATTTGCTGATTATCATCAAGAGGCCCAACTTGAAGGTCATCCTTAATTTTCCAAATATTTTCTTTAGAAGTTTCAGCAAGAAATACTGCCGGATTAGCCTAAAATTTTTCCTTAAATGCTAGAGTTAAATAGACATGATTTTCTTCATTCCAGAGGTTATAGTCGAGGGGTAGAAGGTCAGTTTCCTCCTCATATTCTTCTTGACTGTCTGCCATATACGCTTCAATTTCGCTAAGTTCCTCTTCCTCATAATCGTCCAGAACTTGTTCTAGTTCGTCATCCTGTTGATCTTGAGTAGTAGGATAATTAACAGGGGCTTCATTTGCACTAGAAGTTACAGGAACTGTAATTGTTTTTGCTAAATATCTCAACCTAATTTGGTTGGTTCTGAAATCAAGGCTAGCATGAGTTTTTCTAAACCAATCCGTTCTTAAAAGTAAGGTTTCATCTTGTGAGTCGATAACTTGTAGAGAAATAGGAATTAATAGGTTTTGGATGGCAATTTGAGCTCTTTTAACTTGTCCTAATGCTCTAGTCCTTTCTTCATTAGCAGTGACTATGATAGTATTAGACTGTTCATCAATAGATAATCCTACTTTTTTCATTAACTTCCTGGTGATAATACTGACAGCAGCTCCAGAATCTAAAATAGCAACAACAGGGTTTCCTTTAATTCTAACATAGCAATGAACGGCTGTAGATTTGTCTTCTTTTTCTTCATCACTTTCTTGATTAGCATAATTTGTTTCTTGAATTTTTGGTCTCCTCAACCCTTGAGCAAGATTACGTCTCTGATTTGGGTATTGTAAAAACTGACAATTTTTGCAGAAGAAGGCATTTGTAACAAATCTTGCATGACATTATAGGAAGCCATTTGATCGATTTGGAAAGGTCCTCGTTTAACTTTCTTCTTTTGAGTAGGAGTAATAATTTGTGGGGTTTCCACTTCCATGAATTCATCGATGGGTTTTCTACTTCTCAAATTTAGTTTCCTTCTGGATTCAGATTGTTTCTTTCTTTCTGCTTCTAATTGTCGAGCAGTTTTTCTATTAGTAGTATAAGGTTTGTTTCGTGAAAGAGCATAAACTTCTTCCTCCTCTATTTCTTCAATTTCTTCTTCTTCACTATCCATAAAAACTCCAACATAACTGGCTTCTCTTTTATCAGATTTTCTTCGATAAACTGGTTTTTCAGACATGTATTCCTTTGAATAATGTCCTTTTTCTTGACAACGATAACAAATAACATCCTTTTTATCCTAAGCCTTTGTATCCCAAACTTTTGTAGGATTTCTATCATCTTTTGGCTTTCTTCTTTCAGGTTTTCCTTCCAGTTATGCAGATAACGCATTGGAAAGAGTTGCATAGTTTAAGGATAACTGTTCTATTTGTTTAGTAAGATTATCGATAACATTATTGCTTCCACTTGGTTGAGTTGGTACAGGGGATTGCTATTCATAATATTGATCACTCTCAACTTGTTTAGCTGTATCAATAGCTTCTTCTACATTTTTGGGATGACTAAATGCTATAAGAGGAACGATATTCTTCCTTAATCCATTAAAAAAAAGTCTTACAGTATATTTATCTGGTAAGGCATTAGAAGAGTCGACTTTCTTTAACAATCTTTTAAATTTTCCTGCATAAAAATCCACTTTTTCATAAGGTCCTTGGCGAAGTGTATTTAATTGATGGTGCCATAGGTTTTGCTTTTCTTCAGTTGAGAATTTTTCTAGAAATAATGGTACAAAACTTGCGGCAGCATTACCATCTGAACTTCAGTAAGTGATAGTATTAACATTTTCTTCAAACCAGTATGTAGCTAGTCCATGCAAATATCCTGGTACAATTTTTAGCATTCGAGCTTTAGACCAATTATTTGCTTCAGCAGCAATTTCAAAGCTTCTGATCCAATCATTAGGGTCTTTATCATTATTTCCATAGAAAGGTTTTACCGTAATAATATTACTTTCTTTTGGTGTAGTGTTTCCACCATGTCCACTCGAACTAGATGGTGTGTTCTTAATATTTTTAGCAAGATCTTTGAAACTTTTTGTCATTTGGTCCATGAGGTTCTTTAACTGTTCAGTATTCATTGTTGTTTCAGTTACTTCAGACATTGTAGATGTAGAAGTAAGGAGTGAGATAGAAGTATTAAAAGATTTTTCAAAGCACTCAGTAGTGTGAGTAACTGATAATAAATGTTGTAAAATGGAAGGTAAATCAGCAGGATATAAGTAATAGTTTAAACAATATAATAATGTGACTGCTACTTTTATCGTTTTATTACTATTATGAGCGTTTTCACGATAACTATCTAAATAAAGTTTAAATGCTATTAAAGAGCAATTACTGAATGCTGTAGTATTATATTCATTAGAGATCCAATTCCAAAAGTTTTTAAAATTCTTTGTTACTATTTGATTAACAGGATTACATAGCACACAAGATGCATCTTTTTCCAAAGGTGAATTATTTCTGTGTGCTTCTTTATGATATTCTTGAATTATTTTTAGGATGTCAAAACTAGTAAGTATATTCATATAAGTTTAATAAAGACAATTATAAACCTGACAGAAATCACCAATTTGTTAACCCTACACTCAACCGTCGAACTTAAGGCAACTATGACTTAATAACAGGGAGTAACGTGTGAGAAACTACTAAGTTACTGTGAAATAAGTCCTATTACAATCAACCTTAAGTTTATACTTTAGACGAGTAAATAACTTTAACAATTTGTAAACACGATAAACACAATTGACACGTTGAAGGATTTTTAATATGTGTAGTTTAGAAAGAGATTTCTTTATTGTAGAGATTTGTATCTTTAGCAATCCTTAACCTTGGATTCTAAGTCTTAAACTCGAATTATTGAGTTATCACTGTTATCTCTACCCCTTTACAAGGACAAATTTCTATTCTATTTATACAAAAATACAATTATAAGAAATTGCTAACTAACGCTAAACTATTTTATAATAATAAAATAAATATAAAAGATAAATTATAATTTAACGATGATAATAATTAAATAAATAATAATAATAAAATATAAGAATAAAATAAATTAAATAAAAATGTTGACTAAGTTAAAAATGTTAAAGGAGTTAATAACGTTAATCACTTGTCAATCTTTGTGGCGCAGTAAGATTGACTTCACATGGTATCACCACCTTTTAGCTTGATTGAATTTTTTTAAATATTTCTTTATTTAATTTATTTTGAAAGTAAATAAGAAAATTTCTTTTTATTAACTTGTATTTATTTTATTTTATGAGAGTAGGGCAAATTTGGGAGTTCTGGGATCAAAAAAAAAAAAGGTATCCAAAAAGCTCCCAATCATAAGCCTGAAGCTCTTCTAGCAATACGAATCTATAATATAGAATTCAGATTTAAAAACAGCACCAACGCTCAATTTCGTTATCATATTCCTTAATATAGATTTAAGCTTCAGAAGCTAAAATCAACCAAATTGTTATAACCTTTCTAGCCCGATATTTAACCCAATTCGAATATCAAAAAAAATATACTATACTATTTGCCTTTGAGACGAGGTGAGATTGGCAAGAATCAAAGGTTCGAAGCCAAACTCGTGGAGTCTTTGCAAACCTTCTATATATACTAATATTTATGTTATACTGCTTGCCTTTGGGAGTAGTCTCGAATATTAAGAAACGAAGTAACGAAATATTCGAGACTACGACCTTGTCAAGCCTAAGATGCATACTAATTTTTGAGATATCCTAGAATTAATTCTAAACTGATTCTTAGTCGTAATCAAAGGGTTAAATTTTTGAACTATGACCAAAGGGAGAGTACCAAAATTTTGTATGGGGTACCAAAATTTACGGGTAGGATACCAAAATGTTGAATGATAAAAAGTAAATCAAAAGGGTCATTGAACCTATTCTAGTATACAATTAATTTCTTGATATGCAGGAAATCATTCTAGAGCTAATTTTTCTAGAAAATACTAGGGTCAAAAAGTTATACAAAAAAAAAGTTTCACCTCTGGGATACCAAAATATCTGGGCATATAAGGTTTAAGAATACCAAAATTCTGGGCAGATACCAAAAATTTAATAGCTTAGCTGACATTTTGAAGAGCCTTAGAGCGTAACCTCTAATAGTGTTTGGAGACGTAAAACCCATTTATATGTGCAAGACATCAACCAGAATATGATCTAGTAAGTCTTTCACATTCACTACAATAAACATGTTATTTATCAACTAATTTTCGAACATATTTCCAATTAATTGAGCACCCATCTTCACGCATGCAGGATCTTTCACAAATCTCACCAGAGTAACGAATAAATGGACAAGTATATTCACCATACATAATGTATTTTTTTTCTTATACTAATTATTAATTTAAAATAAAAAGATTATATAAGTAACATATAGTAATATATACACTTTCACAATGAGTACACAAATTCAAATAGCAGAAGCTGTAAACAACCAAGTTACCCAAAATATCCCAACCAAGCCTACATCTCAGGAAATCGAGCAGGCACTAATAAATGTCGTTAAAGCAGGGTTATATTATAGAAGGTCAAAAGAAGGTAAATTCATGCAAAGTTATAAAGAGCGAATCAGAAAATTGCGCCAGGCAGAAGACTCCGAAGAATATGTACTAAAATTAGCTCAAACAATATTCCCCAATGAAGATAAATATAATAAAATTATGAGTGAATACAAAGATTGGTATGGTAAAGATCCAGAAATTCTTAATATAATTATAGAGCTATATAAACTTTACTATAGATTAGCCAAGGAATATTTTAATACCAAAGCACAAACTGACGAAGAATTAGAAGACTTCCTATCATCAATTTGATAAGATTCACTGAGGAGGCAATTCAGTATCACTAGGAATAACCATCAATTCCTCTATCACAAAAGATCTTTCTGGACCAACGTCCTCACCATCTAATATCTAATAAAGAATAAGCTGATTTTTTTGCACTAAAGTATCTCGAATATAATAAACTTGGGGAGACCAATTAATATCCCCAGCACGACGTCTCCCACCCTCTAACTCACCCAGTTCAAGCAAATATCTTACCGAGATATTATAAACTAATTCCTCTTCATCATATCCTATAGGCCCATCACGCGGTTTGAAAGGCATAGCAATAACACTTTCTTTTCCTATTGCTATAGCAGGAGCTATACCAATTTGTCGGGTTAGGAAATTATTAATATCTTCAACAATTAATTGAAGATTTTTTACTCAAGCCCGAGATCTTTCAGTAATAGAAAGTAATTGATCAGACGCATTTTGAGAAAGACCATATCTCTCTCATAAGGTCCTATTATATCTTTTAACAATAGCTACAGAGCGCTTAGATTTGGCCTTTTGGAATTTTGTATTATGCTCTTTTAATATTTTCTCACAACTACCTTTAAACTCAGAACTCTTATCTGAAATCAATAATAACGGCTATACAAGAGGACACTCAGGGTCATCATATTTCTCCTTAAGCGCTCTAGCAATAGTCTTTGAAGTTAAGATCCCTGCCTATCCTTGACACTATGTGCACCAATAGGGATGAAAACTTTATATCTCGAAGCCACGTCTACTACATTAAGGCAAAAAAGATAAGTAATCCGATTTATCTTATCATAAGGCATGTAGAGAATATCTGCCTGATGTACTTTATTGAGAGTAGTAATAGAGCTAAAACTTACTCATGGAATAAATCTAGGACGAGGTTTATGTATCTGATGCACAGCCTGTCTATCAAGCCAGTCACGCATCTCATCAAGTGAAAAATCATACCCAACCTTTTTAGATGCTTTGTGTAATTTTTTCGCAGTTCTCTGATAGCCTGAAGGTTGATAATAAATTTTGCATAAAGCTGAAGATACATCTACATTTCGAACCTCGCCAGAATCTATTAGAATAATAGGAATCAATGGGAGCTGAGCAGGCATATATCAATTTATTAGATAGCAATTTAGAATTGCAAATAAAGTTAACTAAAGAGGAAACTATTACCATTAAAAATAAGAAAAGATTTGTAAGCTCATAAACGATCTAAAGCGATGTAAGTTATATATCAAATATCTTGAAAAAAATCTTATCTTACGAGAGGATGAGTTAGATAGAATAAAAGCAGAATACTGCTCTACCCTACATAATCTCAAAAATGTCAGGATTATTTAGATCTAAAGGAAAAGGCATTAGTCGTTCAAGATAACCGAATTATTCTACTAGAAGATACAGTAGAAAAGCTCAAAAGTCAAATTCTTAAGATATCGCATTCCTTCGGTCAAGACCATCAGGAGAAACAATTAACTCAAAATTTTCTGGCTAGTATTTTATTACAAGAAACTGATCGCAATAGCCCTTTTTTTGAGTCTAGTGAGAAAAAAGTAAATAAGAGTAATAAACCTTCTGAAGAAAAACATCAAGAAAATATGGCACTACCAGATATCTTAAG